TGAGAAAGAGAGAGAGAGAGAGAGAGAGAGAGAGAGAGAGAGAGAGAGGGAGAGAGAGGGAGTTGCATGCCTGCTTCCAGAATTTCCACTGCTGGATGGGGTGTGTTTGCACGCGTGTGTGTACACCCACAAGATTGCATGACCGGGGACTGTGATGTGTGTTCATATGTAGCTGGCAGCTGTATGTGGTCCCAGTGTGTCACAATATCTGAGATTGTGACTGGGTCTTGTGTGCTGTGGACTGAAACATGCAGACATGCATGGCTGTGTGTCCACGTGAAGCTGTGTATGTGTGTTGGGAGAAGGCCCCAGGTGTACCACCAGAATAACACTGGGTAGCTGGAAGGGGGCCGGGCAGGGGACACCAGGGTGCTTGGGGGTGAGGACCCTGGAGCAGCACTGCCTACGTAATGTGTGGCGTCATCAGCTTCGCCCTGGATGTGGGCCACTGTGTCCCTAGGTATGTGTATCCTCCCCACCTGTAGGTGCTGCCCTACATTGGGAGATGTGAGGCAGGGGCAGGAAGGTGGGTCCTTTCATCCCCAGAGGAGTCGTGTGTATGTGTGTGTGTGCTGTGTCTGGGTGTGTCACTGGGTTTGAGGGGATTTGTGCCACTGCTCCCTGTCCCCCAGAGTTGTCAATGGTCTGGAGTTGTGTTTCCCTGCGTGTGTGCACATGTGTGCAGTTGGAGGAGACAGTGGGACTCTGTAAGCAGAGGGAGAACTTATGTCCATGGAGCTCAGTGCAGGCTTGGGACACAATGAAAGTTGAGCAGGCACACTGCCAGCCCATACAACAGCTTTTGTGCAGATGAGGAAAAGGTGCCCCCTGGCCCAATGCAGCTCCCCAGTGTCTATGGTTTGGCAGGCAGTTGGCACCTTCGTGTGAGTCTAAAAAGGGTGCCACTTCCCACAGACGGATACAGCTCCATCAGCACACCTTAGGGAGGAGAGCCTGGGTGGATTCCAGCCAGATCCCCTTGTGCAATGCACAATCTGCCCGACCATACGCAGCAGCCCTCAATGAAGGAATCACACATGCATATACATATATCGCTGCATGTATGTGTCACTGTTGGAAGGGTTGACACTGCTTGAGTGTCAACCATTTCTCTGTGTGGCATAATGTCATCCATGTTCTGTGAGTGGTGGTACCCTGAGGCCCATGTTCAAAGCCCCGCTCCACTGCTTGAGCACTGTGGGGCTTAGGCAAATGAGGGGGCCTCTTGGAAACTTGGTATCCTCCTTTGAAGTGACTGAGTCTTGAAATTCCTTGATTATTAGACCTAGATAAGGGAAAGAAATAAGCATTTGGGAGGACTGAGGATCATATGGATCTAAGCCAGCAGTTCTCAGCGGAGGCAATTGTGCCCCCCCCCAGGGGACATTTGGCAATGTCTGGAGGCATCCTATGCTGTCACACATGGGGGAGAGGGGTGAATGCTCCTGTCATGTAGTGGGTGCTGCTAAACATCAGTCCCAAAAAGTCAGTACTGCGGAGGTTGAGAACCGTGCACTCCCTGGTCCTGCCTGCCTGGTCTATCATCTCAAATTCTCAACTCCAATCTCTCTCTCTCTCCCTCTCCTCCCCAACCCACACCTCTTTCTCCTATCTGCCTTCATTCTCTCCCCCCATCCCCACTGATCCTTCCAACCTCTTCTCCGCATGGCCCCGCTCCCTCTGCCCCTCTCAATCTCCCGGTCCTCTCTTTCACCCATCTCACCTTTTACTCTCCATTATCCATCTCCATGGTTCCTTCTCCTTCTATCACATTTGTCCACCTGTCTGATGTCTCCTTCCAAACTTTTCACCTCACCCATCACTCCCGTTGATCCTTTCTGTCCTCCCATTATCACTCTATTCTCCTCTGGCCTGGTCTGGGCATGTTTCCATTGCTCCCCGCCCTCCTCCGATCCCCCCCGCCCCGCCCCCCACACACACACACTCCACTGCCCGGTGGGACGGCCAACGTTGGGCCCATGCCTCTCCCCTCCATCCATTCTTTCTGTCTCCATTAGTCTACCTTCCCTCGGCCCGCCCTCCTCATCCTCTCGGGCCATCCATCTCCCCATTTCCCCACCTCTGGCCATCTCTCTCCCGCCCTCCGCTCCAGCCTTGATTCTCCGCTCAGCCTGGCGGCCCGGTCCAACGTCCTGCGTGCCCCATGCCCGCCCTCCTGCTCCTCGGGACGCTCCTGCTGTTGGCCTCCACTGCCGGCCAGGCCGGGGCGCGCCCGTCCAATGCCACGAGCGCCGAGCCCCCGGGTCCGCTGCCTGCCCTGCTGGCGCACCTGCGGCGCCTGACTGGGGCGCTGACGGGTGGCGCGGGCACGGCGGGCCCAGGCACCAACAGCACGAGGACCAGCCCGGCGAGCGGGCCGGGCGCAGCGGCGCGGGCGCCCCCTCCGGCGGAGCTCTGCCACGGCTACTACGATGTCATGGGCCAGTACGACGCCACCTTCAACTGCAGCACCGGCTCCTACCGCTTCTGCTGCGGCACCTGTCACTACCGCTTCTGCTGCGAGCACCGCCACATGCGCCTGGCGCAGGCCTCCTGCTCCAACTACGACACGCCGCGCTGGGCCACCACGCCGCCGCCGCTGGCCGGGGGCGCCGGGGGCTCAGGGGGTGCGGGCGGGGGACCCGGGCCCGGTCAGGCCGGGTGGCTAGAAGGGGGCCGGGCAGGGGGCGCCGGGGTGCGTGGGGGCGAGGGCCCCGGGGGCAGCACGGCCTACGTAGTGTGCGGGGTCATCAGCTTCGCCCTGGCCGTGGGCGTCGGCGCCAAAGTGGCCTTCAGCAAGGCGTCCCGTGCGCCCAGGGCGCACCGGGAGATCAACGTACCCAGGTGTGTGCGCGCTCGGGCTGGAGGGCAGGGAGCCTGAGGGCGGGGCCTGGGCCGTAGAAGGTGGGGCTATGGGAAGGGCGGGGCTACTGGAATGGGGGCGTGGACAGAGACCGAGGAAGCAGCCACCGCGAGAGCCTGCCAAAGCCTGGCTGTTGAGTGTCCTGAGAGACTCAGGCCTCATTCATTCAACAAATACTTCTTGAGCACTTTCTGTGGGCCAGGAGCTGGGGATCAGCAGTGAACAAAACAAGGTCCGTGTCCTGGTGGGTAAACCTGGCTTCCAATCCCAGGTCTGCTGCCTGTGGGCTGTGTGATGCCCTGCGAGTTGCTTAACCTCTTTGTGCCTCCGTTTCCTCATCTATACAATGGCTCTAATAAATGTTCCCCACACATTTGAACTGTAATGAACATTAGCTGAATTAATTCATGTCGAGTCCTGGCATATGGTAAGCCCTCAATAAATGTTGGCTACCATTATAAAAAATGTTAGTAGTCGAGACGGTAAGTAGGCAAACACATATGCAATATACTTTTTCTTTTTTTTTAGCTGAGCCATCCTGCCACTTGTTGGCAGCTCAGCAGCAGCTCAGCTCCGGCCGTGAATCCAACCGGCAACCCTGTTGCTCAGAGCTTGCACTCTTGAGCGAGCTCTTAACCAACTGAGCCACTCCGCCAGTCCCCTGCAATATACTTTTTGATATTGATAACTGCTGTGAAAAAATAAGGCAGCATAACGAGTTGAGGGGGGTGTTGTTTTATATGAAGTGGTCATCAAAGGCCTTTCTGAGCAGATTTCAAAGAAAGGAACGAGCCAAACATATATCTGTGGGAATGGCATTCCAGACAGAAGGGACAGTACGTGCAAAGGCCCTGAATTGGAGTGTTCACAGGACAGTGAAGGGGTCAACACAGCTTCAGAGCAGTGGGTGACAAGGAGGTGAACAGAAGCAGGCAGAGGCCAGGTTTATTCTAGGGTGCAGAGGGAGCTACCAGAGGGTCCTGAGCTCAGGCTGTGCAGTGAGAGTAGACTGCAAGGAACAAGGGCAGAAGCAAGAGACCAGATAGGAGACTGTAGCAATGATCCAGGTGAGAGATGGTGCTGGTAGCAGCGGAGGTGGTGAGAAGTGGTCCGATTTGGGAAATATTTTGGAGGTCGAATCCACAAGATTGCTGAGGGGCATGAAGGAAAGAAAGAGATGTCCAGGGTAATTCTAAGGTTTTGGATCTGCATAACTGGGTAAATGGGGCACCCCTTTATCGCCATGGGGAAAGCTGCAACAGGGTGGTGGTCCCAGGTCAGGGTAGGGCGGGGCCACAAGGCGGGCGATGTGGGAGGGACCACAGAAGGGGCAGGGTCCAAATAAATTGGGGAAGGGGGCTTCAAGCAGGAAGTGTGGTCGGAGGGACTTTGGGGCTGGCAGTGCTCAGAGTGCCATTAGCGAGGGGCGTGGCCAAAGGAGAAGCCCAGTCTAGCTGAGCTGACAAATTACTCCAAAGGTAAGAATAGGAAGGGGAAAGAAGCCTAGGCCCTCCCTCTCCCCAAGCCCAGTCTACTGGTCACTGACCATTCTTCTGCCACCTCTAGGGCTCTGGTGGACATTCTGAGGCATCAGGCCGGGCCTGGGACCCGCCCGGACCGGGTACGAAGCAGTTCCTTGACTACAGGGGTCGGGGGTCCTGACAGCATGCCTCCAAGGACGCCCAAGAACCTCTACAACACCGTGAAGCCCTCCAATCTTGGTGAGTATGACCTGGGAGCTTTCGTGGCCGCCTCTGACCACGCCTCTCATCCCTGTAGCCCCGCCCTCTCCAGTTGGCCTCACCTCCCACTACTAAGACCCCGCCCCCAGCCGCAGCCTCCCTGCCCTTGCAGTGAGACCCTCTTCCTGACTCCTGTGGGCCCCCTGAGTGGGCACCATGAACACCATGGTAATTTAGATTTAGACATTCTCAGCCCCTGCACTTGAGAAACTCCAAGTCAGACCAGCAGACAGCCAACGACACACAAGGACATGCCTAACTATTGAGTTAGAACTTGTTGGGAGCCAGACTGCCTGGGTTCAGCATCTCAGCTCTGGGGACAAGTCCGTGTCCTTACCCATAAAATGAGAAGCACATAGGGCTGTTGTGAAGATACAATGAACTAATGAGTCAAGTACTCAGAGCTGTGCCTGGCCCAGAAAATGCGCCTTGTAAATGTGAGCTGTTGTTCTTATATTTCATGGTGAATGCACCAATGGAGAAGTCTGTGAGCTGGAATAGGATGAAAGGGTCTCCTCTTGAGGAGAAGGAGGAAGGCTTCCCCCAGGAAATGCAGTTTGAGCAGTGGCCTGGAGGGTGAGGGGAGTTGCTTGAGCTGGGAGAGCTCTGGGTGGTTGGAGCAAAGCTTGTTAGGCCAGGAAGAGGGTGGGCAGACACCTGATGAAGGGCCTTGAGTGCTAGGCTGAGCTGAGGAGCTCTGCCTTTGTCCTGAGGGTGATGAAGAGCCACGAAGGAGTTTAGAGCAAAGTCAGAAGTCGGGGGAAACTATCCTATGTGAAGGGGGAGAGATGAGAAGAAAGAGGCTCAGGTGGAGGCTGGGATGATGATCCAGGCTGTAAAGGACAGGACTGAGCTGGGTTTGAATAGTAATCAGGAGGAAGAGACGTGTGAGCCGGATCTTGAGAGATGAATAGGAGTTCTTAGGGCAGAGGAGGGGAGGCACAGATTCAAGGCAGAGAGGATGGCATGTGCAAAGGCCCCGTGGCGGGACTGAGCTGGGCTCACTCAGATATCAGAGAGAAGAGTGGCTTGAGGGGAGAGATGGGAGATGAGACTGCAGACATCAGCTATGGCCAAGTCACGCAGGCCTCAAACGCCATTGCTGGCTTAGACAGTCCCCTGTTGGTGGTGACAAGACATGGGAAGAGTAGAGCAGCAGAGGGACAGGGGCAGGTGTGGGTGTAGGAGTACCGCAGAGGGGCTGACCATGAACATGGCTGGCCAGATGGCCAGAACACCGCTTTGATGATCAAGGAGGGAGAGGAAGCTTAGGGAGGTAGGAGGGACCAGGGCTGGGGACCAGTTGGATGTGAGTAGGGATCCTTCCAGGACCACGGCGCCAGCTGGGAGTGGGCCATAACAGTGATGCCACCTCCCTTCTTGTCCCCACAGATAACCTGCAGCACAACTACCTGCACCTGAACGTCAACAGCCCCAAGCACCATGCCACCACACTGGGTATGAACCAGGGCCCGGCTAGGAACCCTTCCACCCTTATTGAACCCGAGCTGGGTGCTCGGAATAGAGCAGATGTAACACCCTGTGAGCGTGTTCTCACAGTCTGTTCAGGTAGCCAAGCGAACCATGGTTTTCCCATTTGGACACCAGAAGGGTCACCTCTCTCCCATCCAAGTTGGTGGGAAGATGCATGGAGTGCACCCCCAACCTGGGGAAGGACACATAGCGGCAGCTGAGCAAGTGCCACTTGCCCCTCCTCCTGTGACATGTCCTCCTTCCCCAGCAAAGAGACTGACCCCTGATGTGGGAAAGTGAACAGAGGGAGCCTGGGCTGCTGAAGCTTTGAGGGGCTGGAATCCCACATTTTAACTCCCTAAGGGGCTGGAGCCTGGACTCCTGCGTCTGAGGAAGGAGGGGCTGGGGGCATGGACCTCTAGGTCTAAGGAAGTTGGGGATGGGGGCCTGTACTCCTGGATCTGAGGGAGATGGGGCTGGGGGGCTGGACTCCTGGGTCTGAGAGAGGAGGGGTTGGGGACCTGGACCCCTAGGTCTAACGAAGTTGGGGATGGGGGCTTGGACTCCTGAGTCTGAGGGAAGAGGGTCTGGGGGCCTGGACTCCTGGGTCTGATAGAGGGGCTGGAGTGACCTGACCATGCTCCTCTGTCCCAGATTGGAGGGCCGCCCCGCCACCCAGCCCCTCTTTGCACTACTCCACACTGTCCTGCTCTCGTTCCTTCCACAACCTCTCACATCTGCCCCCGTCCTACGAGGCCGCTGTGAAATCTGAACTCAACCGCTATTCCTCCCTCAAGAGGCTGGGTAAGTCCCTGGGAAGGGGAGTGGCCATGGCAATGGGATGGGTCAGGGTCTGGGTTTAGGACTATAGACAGTGGCCCAACAGAACTGTAAAGCTTTACAGCCTCCCTCAGGTTTTTCTCCAAGTTTGTTCCGGAATTACCTGAGGCAATTTTGTATCAGAATTATTTGGGGTCCTTTTTAAAATGCAAATTCTTGGTGTCCCCCGTCCACCCTGTAAGATCTATATTTATCAGGACTTTAATTTGCAATTAGTAGAAATACACAACTTAAGCATACATACAGAAAAGTAACTAAGTGAGCTTGACCATGGAAAGGCTATGGGGTTATGAGCTTCAAGTTGTGGATGGATGCAGGAACTCAAAAGCTGTCTCCAGGATTCTACATCTCTCTGCTCTGCTGAACAGTGGGGTAGCTTCATTTTCAGACAGATTCTCCACTCATGACAGCAAAGAGTGACCTGAGAATTTTCAGGCTGCCAACAATCCCAGGCCTGGGTCTCATTGACCCAAATTGTGTTATATGCTCATCCCTGAACCAATCATTGTAACTCTGATTAGACATTTCTGGCTCAGTATCCCATCCCTTGCAGTAAAGTGTCCTTCAAACATTTTAAACTGAGAGCCATGGTAAGAAATGCTTTTTATATTATGACCCATGAGACACATGTATATTTGTATATTTTTTTAGGTACAGGAAAGCTTTCGAACTTGTTATTAAGAACATTTTCAGAAGCATTTATCTCAGTCTGTTGAGATCTTGCTTCCAGGTGTATCCTCTGTTTGGCTCAAATAAATTTTCATAAAAATTCTCAAAAAAACTCCAAACATTTTCAAACATACCCAAGAGGAGAGAAAATTCTAAAATAAATCCGCATCCAACTTTAACAATGAGCAACCTTTTGTTAACCTATTCTCCTTCCATCCCACCTTCTGGTGGATTATTTTATTTATTTATTTTTTTAAAGATTTTTATTGGGGAATTGGGGGTATGGGAACAGTGCTGGGGAATTGGGGAAGGGGAACAGCCAAGTTGCTGTCATTTTGTTCTTCAGTCTAGTTGTGGAGGACGTTGCTTCACTGGCCCAAGTTGGCACCATCATTGCGCTCTTCCCGGGCGAGGCAGATCAGTCGCCGGCTTCTGGACGGCCACTCACTGTGGCTGCTGGCCGCTCACGCTGGCTGCTGGCCACTCATGCTGGCTGCTGGCCACACACGGTAGCCCATGGCAACCCACTGCAGCAGGGGCTGCAGCCTACGCCGTCGCCAGCGACTCATGGCAGCCCAGCTCCAGGTTGAGCTGTTGTTCAGCATCTTAGCTGTAGAGGGCAGTGTCACTGGCCCTCATATGTGGGATCCGAACCAGGGCCTTCTGGCATCCCAAGCCAGTTCTTAACCATCGTGCCACTCGGCTGGCCCCTGGTGGATTATTTTTAAACAAATCCTAGTATTATGTCACTTAATACATTAGTATTTAACACACACATAACTGAAATAAAAATTGTATGAACCAGTGGCTCAGTTGGTTAAGAGCTCACTCAAGATGCAAGCTCTGAGTAACAGCGGTTCGAGTCCTGGCCAGAGCTGAGCTGCCTCTGAGCTGCCAACAGGTGGCAGGATGGCTCAGCTAAAAAAGAAAAAAAAATTGTATGAACCGGTACTCACACTTATTCCCTTATTATGGGGATGCCTTCTGATAAATAGAATTTTCTATATTTCATTTTTCAAAATGCTGGTCACTACTCACAAAATTGACTTCACAACCCACATATGGGTCATCTCCAAGTTTGAAAACCACTGCTACAGGATGAAAGAAAAGGAAAAGTGATTCCTCAAAAGGAAGGGTTAGGTTCTACTCCCCAGAAAAAAGGATACTCCGAGGCAAAAAAATAAAAAAGGAAGTCCCCACATTTACTGGAGGGGTGTCTGTATTTTGGCCACATTCCTAACCTGATTGTTCTGACTGATTAAAATTGTGCCCCTGCCCAGGCTTATGGCCAGAGTGTTCTGGGTGATGCCGCGGTCCCCTTGGGGGTGTGAGTCCATCCCAGGGTAGGATTTAAGGAAGCAGGGGAACGGAAGGGTCTGGACTGGCTGGGGACCCACCTCTGTGGCTTTCTCTCTCCTCCTCAGCGGAGAAGGACCTGGATGAGGCCTACCTGAAGCGCAGGCACCTGGGGGAGATGCCCCGTGGGACGCTGCCCCTGCACACACTGCGGCGACCTGGCACAGGCGGCGGCTACCGCATGGATGGCTGGGGCAGCCCCGAGGAGCTGGGCTTGGCGCCCGCGCCCAACCCGCGGCGGGTTATGTCCCAGGAGCACCTACTGGGTGACGGGGGCCGGGCGCGCTACGAGTTCACGCTGCCGCGCGCGCGCCTTGTATCGCAGGAGCACCTGCTCCTGTCCTCGCCTGAGGCCCTGCGCCAGAGCCGCGAGCACCTGCTGTCGCCTCCTCGCAGCCCTGCGCTGCCCCCTGAGCCCGCCTCCCGCGCGGGTCTGGCAGCCTCCCACTCCAACTTGCTGCTAGGGCCTGGGGGGCCCCCCACGCCACTGCACGGGCTGCCCCCGCCGCCCGGCTTGCACGCGCACCACCACCACGGCCTGCATAGCTCGCCACAACCCACCTGGATGACAGACGCCGGCGGGGGCGGAAGCACGCTGGCCCACAGGCCTCCCTTCCAGTGCCAGGGCACGCTGGAGCAGCTGCAGTTCATTCCTGGCCATCACCTGCCCCAACACTTGCGCACTGCCAGCAAGAATGAGGTGACTGTCTGACGCCAGGTCGGGGTCTTGGGGGCTGCAGCCTTGTGGGTCCCCAACCCAGCCTGGATCCAAGGTCCCAGGGTCCCAGGATTCCAGGACCCAGACTGGCTTGAGGCCCCAGGGTGTGGGGGGACTGCCTTTGAGGACACTGCTTTGGATGAAATCGTCACTGGAGACAAAGCCCCTAGAATGTCACGCGGATAAGATCCTCCTATGTCAATGTTTGAGGCCAGGCCTCCTTCCCATGACGTCATCACAGAGGAAGAGGCCCGTCCCTGAGGTCATCACTAGAGGCCATGTCAATGTTCTATGATGTCATCACAAAGACTTCCTTCTTGTGATGCCATTGAGACAATACCTTGTCCTATGTCATCATCCCTAAAGACAAAGACTCCTTCCTGTGATGTCCCTGCAGAGATAAGTCTCACCTTTATGATGTCACCTCTGGCACCAAAAGGCCTCTTTTGACATCATCACCACCAGGCAACTATTTCCTCCAGAGAAGATGCCTCTGTCTATGATGTTGTTGCTACAGACAAAGCCATCTTGCTGGGACACATCACAGGAGAACATGCCTCACCAAGTGTGTCCTCACTAGGCCTCCTTTCCACGACATAATCACAGGGACTCTGCCTCCTTCCTGTGATGCCATCGATAGAGAAGGTGCCTTGCCCTATGACATCATCAGAGAGACTGTGCCTCTTCCAGGGGGTCATCATCAGAGGTGAGAGTCCTTCTGTGATGTCACCACCAGACTCTGCCTGATCTGAGATGACTCCATGAGACACCTCACTGCTGCTGCCACATCACAGAAGGCATGGCATGCCCAGAGTCCCTGAGAAAGTGTCCTGTACTAAGATGTCACCTGAGGGACGTCATCACTGGGGAGGCTGCCCTGTCTGGGAAGGCCTCCCCAAAGGTGACAGTCTGTCTGTAGATTGTTGGCAATGAGGAACCCCCACCTTTATCTGAAGCTCTGCCCCAATGCTGTGATGTCATCACCAGAGACACTGCCCGCTCTGGAGGGCCATCACTTGTGATAGTGTCACCAGTTTCTGCCTCGTCCCACCATGACTCAGCTTGGTCGTTCCTTCCCCTGACCCCAGGGACGTGTCCTGCAAGATCTCTGCCAGACACTCCCTTTAAAGGGAGGTTAGGTCTTGGGTCCCACCCCTGTGCAATGATGTCACCTCCTGTGTGATTCCTGGAGGACAGCACTCCCGGACTGGCTTGTGCTCTCAAAGAGCCACTCTGGCCCACTAGGCTCTTGGAGTCCTGCAACTCATAGGTGGCCCAAAGGTCGGCAGCACTTCTCTCTGCTATAACCAGAGACATCATCACCTGTGTCAACCATGTCCTGGCCTCTTGTTGGGATGGGGGAGGGGTATGCCTGCTATTGATCTTGCTGATGACATCATCAGCACCATGAGACTGCCTTCACTCATGATGACATTGCTCCTGGGGTCAAATGCTAACCATGCCTGATGATGACATCATTTCCCAGGATTCCCTATGAACTATGGAGTCTTCATCTCCCAGGGTCCACCACAACTATGATGTCATCTTTCAGAATTTACCATGACTATAAGGTCACCTTCTCCCAAGGTTCCCAATAGCCAATGGTGTCACCATCTTCCATGATTCTCCACAACCATGGTGCCATCATCTTTCAGAATTCACCATGACCAATGATGTCATTACCTTCCAGAATCCTCTGTGGCTGGTGGTAACATCCTCTACCAGGATCCACTAGGACTGATGATGCCATCATTTTCCACAATCCCCCATAATTGTGGTGTCATCAACTTTCAGGATCTACTTCAACTATAATGTCTTCATGCCCCAGGATCCATTTCAGACATGGTGTCACTACCCCTCAGCATCCATGATGGTCTGTGGTGTCCCAGGACCCTGATACCCAATCATGTCATCATCTCCCAGGATCCAGGACACCCAATTGTGTCATCACCTCCCAGGATCCATTTTGGCAATGGTATCATCATCTGCTGGGATCTACCATAACCATGACATCATCACCTCCCAGGACCCATGATATCCAATTGTGTCATCACCTCCCAGAATCCATTTCAGCCATGGTGTCATCATCTACCAGGATCCACCATAACCATAACATCACCTCCCAGGATCCATTTCAACCATAGTGTCATCACCTCCCAGGATCCATTTCAACCATAATGTCGTCACCTCCCAAGATACATGACACCTAATAGTGTCATCATCTCCCAGGACCCAGGACACCCAATAGTGTCATCACCTCTCAGGATTCATTTCAGCCATGATGTCATCATTTACTGGGATCCACCATAACCATGACATCCTCACCTCCCAAGACCCATGACATCCAATTGTGTTATTATCTCCCAGGATCCAGGACACCCAATAGTGTCATCACCTCCCAGGGTCCATTTCAGCCATGTTGTTGTCATCTACGGGGATCCACCATAGCCATGACATCGTCTCCTATGATCCAGGACACCCAATAGTGTCATCATCTTGCAGGATCCAGGGCACCCAATGGTGTCATTTACCAGGATCCACTTCAACCATGTATCATCTTCCAGGATCCAGCATCTTGGGAGCCAAGTACTATGACAGCTATATTTCAATTGTCTTCTGGGGTCACATGGCATCTACAAGTTGTTCCCCTAGGAGAATTCAGCACAATACACACCATTTCCCATTGCCTCAAAAATGGAGTAGAGTAGGGCCCCCTCTGATGACACCATTCCTACTCTGGCCCTTTTTGATGATGTCACTGCCTCACTCCTGACTGAGGCTGATGCCTGTGTCAAACCCACCAAGACATGGCCTTGGCCAGTCCCCCCATCACTCCCCTGCTGAGGGCAGTCAGGCAGGTAACTGGCAACTTACTGCCCTTCACCCAACCATTTGATTGGTGACAGAGTCAACACAGAGACCTCTTATTATCACCAGAGAGTGGGGCTTTCCAGTCCTCGGGTGACATCACAGCCCCTTACCCAATCCCTGTTACCTGGACCTCCTCTGGGAGCAGCACTCCATTGGCTTGGGCCAAACTCTCCTCAGAGACTCCTGTGGGCTAGGCCGACAGCTGAGACTTCCCTGGGGCCTCCAATCATGTCCTCTGCTGGCCTGGTCCTAAGGCAGGCACATCTGGAGAGCAACACCATTGCCAGCACCATCTATGGTGGGGGGAGGGGTTCTGCATCATCCCAAGAATCCGACAAGCAGCATTCTCTCCTTCATCTCCCCCTCACACACTGGGGAGTCCCCAAGGGTTTGGAGGATTCCCCAATGCACAATGCACAATTTGCCCCCAATTTTCTTTGTACATAGCCATGTTGTGGGGGGCGGCCATTCCCCCCATTCTTAAAGGGCTACACGCCCCCTCTCACAGCCTCCAGGGTGAGGTGGGGGGGGGCCTCTTCTCTCTCCTTTGGGCCGTACTTCTCCCTGTTCTGTCTTCCCTCGCCCCAATACTGGCACCTCAGTTCATGCCCACAGCCCCCAGGGCGAGGTGGGGGGGCCTCTTCTCTTTCCTTTGGGCCATACCCCTCCCTCTTCTGTCTTCCCTCGCCCCAATACTGGCACCTCAGTTTTTGCCTACTCAGCCCTTGGTTCCCACAAATACAGGGAACGCAGGAGTGGGTTTACCCCCATCTACCTGGGTCCTGATGCCAGTTTTCAATGCCATGCTTACAGCTGCTCCTGTGGGCTCCTCAACCCCTTCTAGGGCCTCCCCATGCCCAGTGCCCCTTGGGTAACTGCGACTTCACCCAAAAGGAGCCAACTTGAGCACCTGCCCCACCCAGACCCCGCCCCTCTGCTCACCACCCCCACAGAGCACTCAGCTTTCTCCAGCTCCTGGAATTGGGGGGGCCTGTGGACTTTCAGCTTTGTATGGCCCCCTTAACTTGCTCTCTCCTGGCCTAGATTCCAGGTATCTCGTCCCCTTTTCCCCTACTCACTCCGCACAGGCTGCCTGACCCAGGGGCCTTGACCTCTTATCTTAAATAAGCCATAGTGGGGATAGGTCCTGAGGAGGTGAGGAAATAGGCGTGTCCTGTCAGATCCATCTGAGTCTTCCCTGTTCTCCCCTACCCCATGAACACACACATACACTCGCCTGCCCTTCTGGTCATGGGCAGTGGGGGGCGGTGCAGAGATGAGAAGATATTAAATGGTTATGGACCAGAAGACCCTCCCCAGCTCTGTCTCCCTTCTTACCTCTCCACTCCCCCCTCTCCCCACAGGTCCATTGGTGAGGACAGCCAGCTGAGCTGCAAGTTGGTATTTTTGGAATAAACAGACATTTTCCTGATCCCCAGTCTCAAGTTCACTGTCAGGAAGGGGTGGATTTCCACCTCCACGTTTATGGGTCACTGGGGAGTCCCCATGTGGCTGAGGTAGAGGGTGGGCATCTAAGTGTCTTTACAGGTGGTCAGGGCCTGCCTCCCTGCGTCCTCAACAAGGCAGGAGTCAGACATGGTGGGCATAAAAGGTGCCTTTAAGCCCTCAGTTTCTTCCTAAGAAAGCCTTCCCTGTGAGCATTTAAGCATTTGTTGGTAGACTCTATTTGCACCTCCTTATATTTGAATTCCCTCTGAATATCATTGACGTGGGGGGGTTATATAGGTTCCCTGGGGCTGCTATAACAAAGTACCACACACTGGGTGACTTAAGCACAGAAATGTATTGTCCCCAAGTTGTGGAGGCTGGAAGTCCAAGATCGAGGTGTCACAGGGCTGGTTGCTTCTGAGGCTGAGAATCTGTTGCCTGCCTCTCTCCGAGGTTCTGGTGGTTTGTTGGCAGTGGTTGGCATTCCTATACACATCATCTTCCCTCTGTACACATCTGTCTCTGTACCCAAATGTCCCCGTTTTATAGGGACACCAACCATGTGGGATTAGGGCCCACCCCCAATGACTTTGTCTTAACTCCATCTGCAAAAATGCTATTTCCAATTAAGGTCACATCCATAGGTCCACAAAATTAGGACTTCAACATCTTCTGGGAGACACAATTCAACCCTTAACAGGCGATGTAACAGGGTACAGTCTAAGTATCAGTTTTTATGATAACTAGGAAGCATTTCCTCATCTCTCTTCTCCCACCCATTGCATTAGAGAATTTGCGTAGCGATGACTAGAGTTGCCCTCCTTTCTCAGGAGGTGCCTGTAAGGCTTGGTTTTATGAACTTGAGGACAGCCCTCCTCTAGGGGTATCTAATGGTGTTTTTACAAATTGCTGACTTTTACAATGTGTCAAAAACTTCATTTGCACATCCCTCTAAGTGTGGATTGTGTGTACAGTGCATTTTAATATTGATTTTATCATTAAGAAAACCCCTTCCTCTCTAGTGCATTTAAGTGTTTGCTTCCCAAATATTAGATTTTATTTTTTATCAGTCAGGGTTCTCCAGAGAACTAGAGCCAATAGGGCATGTGTGTGTGTGTGTGTGTGTGTGTGTGTGTGTGTGTGTGTGTAGATTCACTTCAAGAAATTGGCTCACGCAATTGTGAGGACTAGGAAACCCAGCAGGCAGGCAGGCCAGACACTCAGGCAGGCTTCTGTGCTGCAGTCTTGAGGCAGAATTCCTTCTTTTCTGGGAAACCTCAGTTTTTGCTCTTATGGCCTTCAACTGATTGGATGAGGCCCACCACGTGATTTAGAATCATCTTCTTTACTTGAAGTCAGCAGATTGTAGATATTAATCACATCTACAAAATACCATCATAGCAACACCTGAATTGGTGTTTGACCCAACAACTGGGCACCATAGGCTGGCCAAGTGAGCATGTGAGATCTGACCAGCACACACTCCGTGCAGGGAAGTGCTCACTGGAGGAAGGCCTCTTCTCCTCAGTGCAGTCAAGTGTTCACCATTGGCTAGATTTCACCTGCTTAGGTTCATTTGCTTGGCTGTAGATTAATGGGGCGTTGTGTGTGTGTGTTTGTGTGTGTGTGTGTGTGTGTGTGTGTGTGTGTGTGTGTGTGGCATTCAAGTACTGGTGTTATGATCATCTGTAAAATGTCCCCCCCACCCCATGCCGCCTATGACAGCTGTTTGCATATTCTTAGAAATTGCCTCTTTGCATTGTAGTCTTTGTCCACAGGCAAAGATAACTGGGCGTGGGTGAGGAGAAGGGTGGTGATGCACTACATCTGAGAATGGTTCTCTGAGCACTCAGAGATGCTCCTCCTGGGCACACAGTAGGACTGCACTTCCCTGCCTCTCTGAGATTAGATGTGCCCGTGGGATGTGTTGGAAGGGGAAGCAGAGGTGTGTTTCCAGATGGAAGATCCTGAGAGTTAGTGTGTGATCCCCATTCTCTCCCTCTTCACCCTGCCTCGGTGACTGGCAGTATTTCAGGTAAAGGCTGCCCTTTCTAGCCTGGATCCCAGACAGATACCAGGGTAAGGATGATGCCAACTTGGGGCATTGGCCAACCCTCAATGGACAGGAAGCGTGAGTGAGACAAACACTTGCTGCTTTAACAACTGGTGAATCCGGGCTACTGCTGGAGAATGCAGCCTGTTCTGGCTACTGCTGTTGCCTGCGGAGAGGGGAACTGGAGAGCCAGGGGTCTTCCCCTACTGTATAGTCTTTTGCACTTCTGAGTTTTTGTGTAAGTGTTTTACCTTTAAAAAAAAATAAAGTTTGATTAAGAAACTGTGGTACATTTATACAATGGAGTATTACTCTGCTATAAAGAAGAATGAAATCGTACCATTTGGGACGATATGGATGGACCTAGAGACTATTATGTTAAGTGAAATAAGTCAGTCGGAAAAAGACAAATACCATATGATTTCACTTATATGTGGAATCTAAAAAACTGAATGAACGAGGGAAGTAAATAGAAGTGGTCTCAGAGATATAGAGGAACAACTGATGGCTGCTAGTTGGGAGGGGGAGGGATGAGGGAGAAGGGGAAGGGATTAGACAGCATAAATACGAACTACAATATTGCCACAGGGACATGAAAGACAGTTCGAGGAATACAATTAATAATGTTGTAAATATTTTGTAGGGTGTCAGATGGTCACATGTCTTGCTAGGGAGACCGCATCATGGATGGGGTAGAGGCTTGATCACTGCACTGTACACCTGAAGCTGATGTTGTATAATATTGTATGTCAGCTATAAGTGAATATATATATATATATATATATATATATATATATATATATATATATATATATATATATATATATATATATATATAGTCATGGGATGTGGAGTATAGTGTGGGAGTGGAGTCAAGGGAATTGTAATAGATATGTATGATATTGGGGGGGAAGTGGGGCGGTGGATTGGGGAAGGGGGATTGTCACCTCGAGGGGTAAAAAGTATAACTATTACACTGTGTTGTACAGCTGAAACTAATTCTAAAAAATGTGTATTTCACAATCAAAAATAACTAAAAATAAATAAATAAAGTTTGAATGGAAATGTAAAAGATGCAGGCTTTCACGGCCATTCTCCTCACTGGGCATATGCTCAAGAGTGAGCATGGGATGGTCTGTGTCTCATCCATCTCCCACGCACGGTGATTGGTGCCCCACTCTGAGTTGTAATGCCCGGGCTTCAATTGTGTACTTTTCATTCAACGTGGCCTCTACCACTTGACATGGCCAGTCAACCATTTCATTTGTGTTCGACCTGATCCACATGTACTGTACTTCACTTGGACAAGTCGAGGATAAGATTTGACAGGAGCATTTGTGCCTTTGTAACCTAACACTTGCTCAGTGTGCACCTCCACCATGTTGATAAACACAGCTTCTGAGCAGCTATTCTTATTTTTTTTTTTAAGATTTTATTGGGGAATTGGGGGAGGGGAACAGCGCTGGGGAATCAGGGGAAGGGGAACAGACAAGTTGCTGTCCTTTTGCTCTTCAGTCTAGTTGTGGAGGACATTGCTTCACTGGCCCATGTTGGTATTATCATTGCTCTCTTCCCAGGTGAGGCAGATCAGTCGCCAGCCTCTGGACGGCTGCTCACAGCGGCTCTTGGCAGCTCATACGAGCTACCAGCCACTCACACTGGCTGCCAGCCACACATGGTAGCTTATGGCAGCCCACTGCAGCAGGGGCTGCAGCCTATGCCATTGCCAGCGACTCATGGCAGCTCAGCTTCAGGTCGAGCTGTTGTTCACCATCTTAGCTGTAGAGGGCAGTGTCACTGGCCCCCATGTGGGATCCGAACCAGGGCCATGCTGCTCAGAGCTGGTGTTCCAAGCCAGCTCTTAACCAACGCGTGACTCAGCTGGCCCTGAGCAGCTATTCTTTTTTTATTTTTTTTATTTTATTGGGGAATTGGGGGGAGGGTAACAGCGTTGGGGAATCGGGGAAGGGAAACAGACAGGTAGACAAATTACTGTTTTGTTCTTCAGTCTAGTTGTGGAGGACGTCGCTTCACTGGCCCATGTTGGTATGATCATTATGCTCTTCCCGGGTGGAGGCAATCGGTCGCCGGTTGTTGGTCAGCTGCTCACAGCGGCTCCCAGTAGCTCACACCGGCTACCAGCCGCTCATGCTGGCTGCCAGCCACTCACATAGCTGAGCCATCCCGCCACCTGTTGGCAGCTCACGGCTGCTCAGCTCGGGCTGACTCGAACTGCTGTTGCTCAGAGCTCAAATTCTTGAGCGAGCTCTTAACCAACTGAGCCACTCAGCCGGCCCTCTGAGCAGCTATTCTTAAGCTGTGCTTGATGGGGTGAAATTGTGAACTTCTGAAATCCACATCACATGTTGTGTGAACGTGCTCCACCCCCGCCCCCACACTTCTCTTTAACCTTACAGTTTGAAATAATTCCAAACTTGCAGAACAGATACAAAAAGAAGTCAAAGAATTCGCCAATTCACCAGTTAATGTTTTATCACACTGCTGTATGGTTTTCTTTCCATGTAAATATTCTGTTTTTTTCCAGAGGCATTTGAGAGTAAGTTGCATACATCATACCCCAGTACCCCTAATGGACACTTCTAAAGAACAAGGACTTTCTCTTACACAGCCACAGTATAATTATCAAAGTCAAGAACTTAACATTGATCAAGGCCATGTTCAAGTTTCACCAGCTGTCCCACTACTGTCATTTAGGGCAACTTGCTTTTCAGTCCCTGCTGCTCCAGGATTTGGTGCTGCATCCGGTTATACATGTCTCTTGAGGCTCCTTCACTGTGAACAGTGCCTCCATCTTTTGCATGACATTGATGCTCCAGAAGAGTCCAGGCAGGCCACTGTGCAGGATGCCCCTGCACTTGGATACATGATGCCTCGTGGTTAGACCCGGGTGCCTGTGTGTTTGGCAGGAGA